GGCAGAATAACCTAAACTACTTCCCTAATCATCTTCACTAAATGTCTTGTCAACCTGTATCTTCTAGGTTGACTCCAAAAGTTTCATTAAATCATAGATCTAACTAAGCATCATTGCTCTTATAAAATCATCTTCATTGTGATATGCAAGTAAATTGCCCAGTGAGGCGCAGGATTCTCCCATAAAATAATCACACTATACATACAGTGGGATCCTGTCACATGGTAATCAGACCATGCCAAACACAGCAGGAACACAGCATGGCAGGCAGGAGGAAGCAGAGCAGGAGTGAGGGGCATTCTGGGAACAACCCTTCTGGGGCTTTGTCTCTCCAGGGTTTATTCATCTAGCTTGGCTATTCGGTGATTGGACTCCATAAGCTCCGTTGCTGACTGGAGCTCCTCCGACATGGCCACTGATAGCGAAGGAACACTTAATTTGAGTAAGGCTTACAGATACATTTCTTTGGAGGAGGGGGAAACTTCCACATTGGGAACCAATCAAATGATGAGCAGCTTCTTGTCAGAGTTTTCAGGAACAATTTAAGGCATGTTTCTCAGTTTCCTCTTTCCCATGTCTTTGAATCACTGGAAACCAGTTCGGACTGTGACTTCTTCTTTGTGTAACCAGTGTTGGCCATCTCTGGGCCGTTTAGCTGCGAGCATGTAGAGGTTGACTCTGAGCTCTGGCCAGGTGCCTGAGTCGTATCTTGGAGAGACAGATACAAGAAGTCCTTGACCTTCTGCACATAGACCTCAACAATGGTACCGGAAAGACGCTCCCAAGGTGGAGGTGAGCGTTCCTGTCCCAGCTCCAGAGGAGATAGTGGAAGTATGTGAAGAGATGAGTAGTGGCTTGGGGTAAAGAGGCAGACAATGGGCAGGCTGACGTGACAGAATGGACCAGACAGCAAGAAGTCACATACTGAAAGGGGATGTAAAAAGACAGGACATCAAAGGAAGGAGGTGATACTTAAGAACGTGTAAGGACGTGAGGATTGCAGCTGCCTGATGGTGAACTTTTTCTGGATTTTGTATTTTGTGTGTGCATGTACCTGTGTGCGTGTGCGTGTGCGTGCGTGCGTGCGTGCGTGTGTGTGTGTGTGTGTGTGCCTATGTCTCTCTCTCTCTCTCTCTCTCTCTCTCTCTCTCTCTCTCTCTCTCTCTCTCTCTCTCTCTCTCTCTCTCTCTCTCTCTCTCTCTCTCTCTCTCTCTCTCTCTCTCTCTCTCTCTCTCTCTCTCTCTCTCTCTCTCTCTCTCTCTCTCTCTCTCTCTCTCTCTCTCTCTCTCTCTGTGTGTGTGTGTGTGTGTGTGTGTGTGCTTCAGAGTTGACCTGGCCATTTATTATGGGGCATTGACAGCTTTTTCCTGCTCTAAGTTTATAGTTATTCTGAGCATTTTGTCGGGTTTTTCATCGCTCTAACCTTCTTGGTCTTGAGGTGAGTGCATGTGCTTGCTATCTGACAGGGAAGGGAGTCTGCTGGTCCCTGAGACTCTGGTCGGTCGCTGTGATTTCTATCCTGATCCTCAGCACCTGTTTCATCGCCACCTGTGTGGGTAAGTTCTTCACCGATGTGGGTCTCTTTCGGGCTCTTTCTTTCCTGCTCTGCAGAGACTCCCAGGGGCCATTTTCTCCCCCCATTAACTGGTCAAATCTTACATGCAATACCATGTTTTTTTCTTGATTTCTCTTCTTCATCTTTTCCTTTCCATGTTTTGATCTCTGAGACTTCTAAGTTAGCACATACTATTTATCACCGTCATCTGTGACGGTGCCATTCAGCATGGGGTTCACCAGCAAACACATTCTCTGGCCACAACACCTCTGTATTGGAAGTTCAATGGATTTTGTAATGTCGGCAGTTCAGAGTCTTTGATTCATTGGGGATTTTTTTTTTCAATATGAGAGGGAAAAGCAGCCAAATTAAATGGTGGGGATTGAAGAAATAAAAAATTTCTTCCCTGTTCACCGGCTCACAAAGCCATATCGCAGTCTTCGGTGTGAAAGGTTCGGATGGTGATCTTGGTAGCTGCCGGTTTATTCTGCTGTGAAAATGATCACACAGTCCAGTAGGGAGTGGGAGTGGCTTACACCAAGAGCTTCGTGTCTGCAGTGTGCTCTGAGATGAGACAAACATTCCATTCTCTCCAAAGCAGGACGGGCTCTCATCGGCACAGTTAAGCCTAAGAAGGCAGGCTGTGCTGGTTAAGGATAGATATTTTACTGGTCAAGAAGAAACAGAAGTTCAGACCCAAAGCACAAGCTAGAAATGTAGAAATGTTCGCTGAAAATATTGAAGAAAGTCTGTTTTTGTTAACATTGTTTAATGGGCACACTCATGAACAAAATGCTAACTTTAAAACATTAAATCTTATTCATTAAAAAATTTAAACTTATATACAACATATCTTGACCATACCCACCCCAGATGTTTAAAGTGTGCCTACTTGTTCAGGAATGGTTAGGATATGTTAACATACCCTGTGGTCGTGCCTCAAATTTGTTTAAACAAAGGGGGCCAGGTATTGGTGAGCCAACAGATAACTACACAGGGTCTGTGGCAGTTCGCTGATGCAGGGGTTTATAATTAATGGGTGTAGAAGATGGAATTTATGCTCCAGAAAACAAAGCTGATGTGATAGTTGGGGAGAGGAAAAAGAAATAAGATGTAGAAGCAAGGAATATAAGAGAACATAGGGGAGCAATAATTTAGTCTTGTCTTCAGTGGTTTGCCTGGGGAAGGGGAGGTAGAGTGGAGGTGCACTGGCCTGGTCCAGGTAGAGGACATGAGCTTCCAGGGCTGACCACGTGGATATTCATCTCTTCTCTCTTCACAGTGACTTACCAGTTTTCGATGGACAAACCCGATACAAGACTGTCTGAGCTTCATGCATACCATTCCAGTCTCACCTGCTTCAGTGAGGGGACAAGGGTGTCAGGTGGTGATTCACAATATATTTCCAGAGAGAGAGAGAGAGAGAGAGAGAGAGAGAGAGAGAGAGAGGGTCGAGCTTAAGATTTATTTATTATTGTGTGTGTGTGTGTGTGTGTGTGTGTGTGTGTGTGTGTGTGTGTGTGTGTGCTGTGTGATGTTTTAACTTGGATACTACCAAGGTTTCTCCATACTTACATGTTCAGTTCAGGTTCTGGATACATCCAGGAAACGATTCAATTCAATCCCCAGGCATCTTCATTTTGGGAAATACTATCAACACACAACACATAGTTTGTCAGGTAAACGCTGGAAGTCATTCATAACTTTTCCCATGAGTTTTACATTCAATGTATAAAATTCTCTTTGATATTTAAATTTCTCAGTTAATACTACCCATCTCCATTCCAAGTACCATCTTTATTACTAGGAAAACTGACTCAGCCTGAGCCTGCCCTTGTCCAAAATGCAAATAGATAGCAAATTCATCTGTGGAGAGTTGGGAGTTGAATTGAGTATCATATCTGCCTTGCCTCTGTGTGATGATGGATGCTAGAGACAGTCGTGTGCTTGTCTGTAGTTTTTCTTAGGCTCTCGATCTTTACACATAAAAGAAATAGCATCTAGACAGATGTCAGGGACCTTCCTCTACAACTGATTTACTCACCATGCCACCTATGTGGAGAAATTTGTGAAGTGAGGATAGAACAAAAGCCCTTCATACTTCTTGGAGGTGCTGGGATTTTCCCTTTTAGTTATTGGTCAGGGTGTGTTGCATGGCAAAGCAAAAACATTGTCAGCTTGCCCTGGTCATGCTTTTCTTAGCATATTGGAGTTCTTTGGGTCAAATGACTATGGAGCTGATTTATTCCTAAGAAAAACAACTCCACGAAGATAGTCTTTCTTTTATACAATTATAGCCCATATATCTAATTTGAGACAAAGTTTCACATATAGCCCAGGAAGGGATGGACTCCTCAGACAGCCTGAACTAGCACGTCCTCACCATCCCCCCTGAGTGCAGAGATTACAGATGTGGTGGACCATACCAGGCTACAGCTGCAGTTTTAAAGAATAACTTCCTGGAAAGGATAAATGGACATTTCACCTTTAGAAGGTTCAGAAATGTGACAAAAAGTGAATTTTATTGAAAAACTTAGTGTTCATCCATCAACACATCCCCTAAGCATATCTAGCTTAAAACTATGGCCAAACAGGCTGTTTAGTATAGTTCATTCTATTTGTAGATAAGTTTATGTGGTAAAATTATATTATTATATATGCTATTATATAATACCATATCAGAAAATAAAAATAGCAGACATTTGGACAATGCTCTTTTGAATTAATACAATAAAAACAAAACTTGAAGCAAAAATGTTTTTATTTTGTCATTCATGGTGATGCATGCTTGCAATCCCAGCACTTGGGAGTCAGGGGCAGGGAACTTCCTGTAGTTCTGAATTCAGTCTGGTCTACTCAGAGAGTTCTAGGGATACATAGTGAGTTTCTTTTCTGTCTCAAAGAAAAAAAAAACTAGCTGGGTGTGGTAGCCTGGACTGGCAACTGTGGTCTCTTAGAGTTTGTAGAACATCTGTCCAGGCTCTTCTGGTTTTCAGAGTCTCCAATGAGAAGTCAGGGGTTATTCTAATGGGTCTGCTTTTATAAGTTACTTGGTCTTTTCCCCTTGCAGCTTTTAATATTCCTTCTTTGTTCTGTATGTTTTGTGTTTTTATTAATATGTATTGTGGGGAATATCTTCTCTGATCTAGTCTATTTGGTGTTCTGTATGTCTCTTGTCCCTCGACAGATATGTCCTTCTTCAAGTTGGAGACATTTTCTTCCGTGCTTTTGCTGAAAATATTTTCTGTGCCTTTGACCTGGGTTTCTTTTCCTTCCTCTATTCCTCTTAGTTATAGACTTGGTCTTTTTCACAGGATCCCAGATTTCCTAGATATTTTGTGCTTGGATTTTTTTTCTTTTTTTTTTAGATTTAGCTTTGTCTTTGACTGGGATATCCATTTCTTCTTCCCTGTCTTCAGTGCCTGAGTCTCTCTCTTTCGTGTCTTGTGATCTGTTGGTGAGGCTTATTTCTGAGGTTTTTTTTTTTGAATTATACATTCAAGAAGTCTTGAATTATACATTTCCAGTTCTATCTCTGGGTTTTACTTAGTGATTCTATTTTTACTTTCCTGTTATAGATTGTTTTTTTTTGTTGTTGTTATTTTATTCTACCATGTGTTTTCACAGACTTCAAACTCAATGGTAGATTTTTTGTTGTTGTTTTATATTGCTTTATTTGGGCATTTAAAAAAATTTCTTGGTCTTTTGTTTGTATTATGGTTTTCAATTTTGTGTTTTTTATGGGGGGTTTTCTCTGCATCAGTTGAGTCTCTTTTTCTTTCTTTTTTTTGTGTGCTTTGCTTCTATTTTAAATTCTGTTCTTTAAGAAAAATTGCCTGTTTGTTTTCTAAAGAAAGAGAGAAGGAAGGTGTGGAGTTAGTTGGGTATGGAGGATCTGGGAGGAGATGGGGAGAAGAAACCATGATCAGAATATATTGTGTGAAAAACTATTTTCAATTAAAAAATAAAATTAGCTCATAAAGACCACAAAAATGTCTGCTTTGGCCACAGTTAAAAGACAAGTGGAAAACACACTTTGTCTTCTCCATTTCGTTCCTACTCAGTGAGAGTGATTTGAAGTTTGGATGCCTGAGTTAGAGCATGAGCCTATGCTCCGCATTCTTAATAACCAATAAATGATTGCTAAGGTTCCTGAATGTTTGATATTGGATAAAAACTAGTGAGAAGTAGCATTTATGGGGCAATTATTCTGATTTAAGTATTGTTTGAAATGATTCAGAGATATTATGTGATTAAATAACCCACGAGGTTAGCACTGCTCTCAACATCAATTCCATGGTCCCAAATGACATGTTCAGAGAACAGTAAATGCTGCAATTATGACGAGCAAGCAATTCTGCCAAGCAGCCTCGGATCCTTGGAGTTGTGTAGAACGTTAAGAAGACCACGCCTCCTTAATCTTATTTGTCTCGCACTGTGGTCACACTTCTCTTTCATGTCACAGAAAAGATGTGGGGGTGCTGCCCGAGTAACTGGAAGTCATTTGGCTCCAGCTGCTACCTCATTTCTACCAAGAAGAACATCTGGAGCATCAGCGAGCAGAGGTGCATCGAGATGGGGGCTCATTTGGTGGTGATTACCACGGAAGCCGAGCAGGTAGCTCTTTCCCATTTTTCATTAGCCTTGTAATTGTGGGGAAAGGGAGCCAAATTTACTAAACCTGATCATTTTTAAATTTATCATTAATTAACTAGTTAACTAATTTTCCCCAACCTGATCACAGTTTCTCTTCCCTTCCTCCTCTCCTCTCAGGGCCACCCCACAATCTTACCTCTTCTCCCAGCACCATCCATTCCTTCTCTTCTCTCCTCAGAAAAGTGCAGGACTCCCATGTATTTTAGCCAGCCATGACATAGCTGGAGAGGCACCTTCTCTCCTACTAAGGCTGGACAAGGCAACCTACTACGAGGAAAGGATCCCAAAAGCAGGCAACAGAGTCAGAGACAGCCCTGCTCCCACTGTTAGGAGTCGCACAAGAAGACCAAGCCACACACCTGTAACACACATGTAGAGGCAATGGTTAGCAGAGATTAGCATGTTCATTAAACACACATGGTAGAATAAAATAACAAAAACAATTCACAACATGAAATTAAAAACAGAATCACCGAGTAAAACTCAGAGATAAAAATCCCCTAGAACTTTTTTGTCTTGCAAGGTTGGAAGTCCTTGAACAGACTGTCCACTTTCCAATTCATAAAGGCTTTGGCAACCACTCCTTTACTTCCATTTTTTTTAAATGAGTTTGATTACTTTAGATTCTTCATGTAAGTGGAATCATGTATTACTATTGGGTATGCTTGCTCATGTGCATGCATACACACACACACACACACACACACACACACACACACACACGTGTGTGTGTGTGTGTAGTTTATTTCATTTGTCATGGTGTCCTCAAGGTTCATCCATGTTGTAATATATGACAAAACTTTCTTCCATGTTAAGTCTGAATAATCTATTTTATGCATACTTCCTCTTTTTGTTTTATATGATTTTTTCCTAGGTATCTTAAAGTGTGACTGACAGAAAAAAATGCATATATTTCCGGGGTACAACGTGGTCATGTGCTATATGTGTGCATTGAGAACTGAATGGGTAAACCCACTGCATTCATGTATCTATGTGTGTGGTGATAGCATTTGAAATACCACCTTCCCTCCATTCGTTCCTCAAGTGGTTTTCACGTAGATTGTCCCCGTTCCATGGCTGTTACGAATAACACAGTGAATATAGTTGTGTAAATATCTCTTTTAGATCCCGCTTTTAAAAAAGTATTATTTCACAATTTCATTTATATGTAAGGTTCTTTGATCAGAATGCCTCTCGTCATTTTCTCTTAGCCTTCTCCCCCCACCCCCCGCTGCAACTCCTTTTCTTTCCAAATTTTCCCTCTTTATCTTTTTTAGGGGGGTGGAGATGAAACTCATATTTCAATAGCATTCCCTGCATGAGCATGAGTGTGCAGCCACCTCTGAGAAATATGACTCCTTTTATACCAGCAACTGTTGAAGCTCCTCAAGGAGGGGATGGGGTCGTACCAGCTCCCCCCCTCCACACCCATGATAGAACACTGATGGACCCAGGCTTGTGTGCATCTTTCACAGGTAGCCATTGCTGTTGTGAGTTTCAGCTCTTGTGTTCTTTTCTCTGTGCCATGTTCCCTGAGATTGGGGTGCCGTGGTGTAGAAGAGCATTGACCATTTATGAGTCTGTGTACTGACCATCACCCTCTGAAAAGAGGAGCTTTCCAAAAGCCTCCATGGCTTTCCTGATCACCACCTTATGAGGAGGTACCTCAGACAAAACACTAGGATTTTTGTTTAGTAACTTAGTGACCACCTATGCCTATAGTGGTTAACTCTTTCAAACTCCATTTTTAAAGTTGTATTTTTAATTGGCTTACACAACAGCAGGTTTCCACATGACTTTCCCACCCACCCTTAGTTTTGGTTAACCCTCCCCTGCCCATGCATCTCCCTCATCACCCACCACACTCTCACTCAAACCTTTACATTCCCGATATTTTCTCCATTTACTTTCTCTGTACCTTGGTTCTGCTACCCCTCTTCCTTTAAGGCATTTCCTCCCTTCCCCACCAATGGTCCCTTTCTAGTTTCCTGGACTCTATCAGTACTCCAAGTTAAAGGAAAATCTAAAAATCCAAGATAGGGTCTCCACAGAGACAGAACATTTGACATTTGTCTTCCTGGACCTCGATTACCTCAGGAATCTTTTCCCACCACATTAATTTACCTGCAAATCTCACTATTTCATTTTCTTCACAATTCCATAGTGTACACGTTTCACATTTTCAGTTGATGGACACCTAGATCAGTCTTAGCTGCCGTTCATAGAGCAGCAATGGACATGGATGAGTAAACCCCCTGTACCAGAGTCCTCTGGGTATGAGCCCAGGAATGACATAGTTGAGTCACATGGCATTTCTAGTTTTAGTGTTTTGAGAAACCACCCAAAATAAATATTTCTCTTTCCCCACATCCTTGTCAGTATTTATTGTCATTTGTTTTCTTGATGACAGCTGCTCTGATTCGGGTGATTCTGGATCCCAAACTAGTTTTAATTTGCATTTCCCTGCTGATGCTCAACTCTTTAAATCTGATAATTTCATATGTGAGTATTTGTAGCACTTCCATCCTTTCTTGTTCCCTATTCCTACTGTTGGACATCTTTTAATGTTTCTGTTGGCCATTTGTATATTTTCCTTGGAAAACTGTCAGCTCAACACCCCCCTCCTGTTTTATTCCCCCAAATTTTCATTGTCTAGTATATCCAACATTTATTTATTTTTTTCCTTTTTTTAAAAATTTGAATTAGAAACAAGATTGTTTTACATATCAATCCCAGTTCCTTCTCCCTCCCCTCCTCCCATGCCAATCCCCAAACTAAAACCCTACCTATCACATATCCTTTCTGCTCCCCAGGGAGGGTGAGGCCTTCCATAGGGTGTCATCAGAGTCTTTCATATCCTTTGGAATAGGGCCTAGGCCCACCCCTGTGTGTCTTGGCTCAGGGAGTATCCCTCTATGTGGAATGGGCTCCCAAATTCTACACCTATGCTAGGGATAAGTACTGAACTACTACAGCTGGTCCCATAGATTTACGAGGTCTCCTCACTGAAACCCATTTTCCTGGGGTCTGGATGAAGTCTCATGCTGGTTTCCCAGCTATCAGTCTGGGGTCCATGAACTCCTTGTTCAGGTCAGCTGTTTCTGTGGGTTTCACCAGCCTGGTCTGGACCCCTTTGCTCATCACTCGTTCTTCTCTGCAACTGTATTCCACAGAAACTGATTAGTTGTGGGTGTCTGCTTCTACTTCCACCTGCTGCTGGATGAGGGCTATAGGTGGCATATGAGTCAGTCATCAATCTCATTATCCGGGGAGGGCATTTAAGGCAGCCTCTCCTCTGTGGCTTAGATTGTTAGCTAGTGTCCCGCTCCAGTATTTAATTGTGTTATTCCTTTTACTTTTGTTGGTTTATAGGTATTCTTTATTTATTTTGGATATTAGTCCCTTATCAGATATATGGTTTGCAAATGTCTGCCTTTTTTTTTTTTTGGTACAAATGCTGCTTGGCCAATAAATAGGATTTCTCATCTGCTAGCTCAGTCTTAATTATCATAAATCTATAAGACTTATCTTATTGGATGCCTTCTGCTGACGTCCTCATCCCCGGGATCACATGGTAGCTCAGAGCAGAGAGCAGCAGGAAGAGCGAAGGGGAAAGGGATCACTTCCTGCTTGTCCTTGCTTAAATATGAGTCTCCCTGCTATGTCACTTCCTGCCTGGATCACCACTTCTTTACTATATTTCCCAGAATCCTCCTTGACTCCTAGTCCCATCTAACTTGCTGCCTCATTGGCCAAACAGTACTTTATTCAACAATCAATAAGATGAACATACACAGAAGTACATTCCCCATCATCTCCTCTTTTCTGTCTAAATAAAAAGGCTAACTTATCTTTTATAATAACTGAAGAAAACTATAACCATAACTGTCTGTCTTCAACTCTATCAAAGACTACAGAAGGATAATATATAAACTCTAGAATTGACAGAGACTTCTTGCTACCTGGACAGTCACCCAAAGTTCTTCTGTAACTTTGGGAAATCCATCTTCAGCTCACAGGCCTTAGTGTGTCTAGCACACTTCTCCATTTCAACAGGAACCCTTCAGTACTGTCTTGTTTTGTAAGTTCAGTAGTCATTTTCTTGCAGGTACTGCATGTCCAGTTTATACAGCAACAAACAGTCCAGGTAAGAGCAGTTTCTTGCTCAAATGGCTGATCTTGCCATGTTGAAAGCAAACTCCATAACCAGTTTCTTCATGCCCATCCTCCTTTGTGATGTAATTGGTGTGCCAGGAGCAATTGTGTCTCACTGCCAAGAAAAACCCTAAACCATTTAAATCCCATATTTTCTGTAGGTCTTTGAAAGGTTTGAAGAATACCTATCCATCTCAAATACATCTCTGTATATCTAGAAAACCTAACTAACCTAATTATAAGTTCTGACTATTATAGGTGACTATATAACATGATTTTAATTATGTATATCATTTAAAAGATCTGTATAAACACAATACCTAAACAAGAGGAGACATATACATATCACAAAATTGACCTTAAAGTTGTATCAATAAATACAAATTTATACCAATGCAAAGTATTCATCCGTATATCCTATTCCCCTTTTTTCCTTTAAAAAAGAGTTTGACTATGCTCATTACCATTTATAACCAACACCATTTAAATGAAAACAAACCTTTATAAACAATATTTGGGAATTTGGGTGTCGTTCATTCCAAACTGCTTCCTACTAATTGGGGGCGATGTCCATACCTTGGGGATCATGATAAAACACAGAACTCTGACCAAGTCCTTGTTTTTGTAGTCTGTAAGCTGCAGCATCTCAGCTGTTTTGGATGTAGGATAGTTGGGTCACTGCTTCAGGGGGTCTTGCTTGATCAAACCACATTAGTCTGGAAGGAATCCACAGCTTTTCATTTTCTGTGGAAACACCAGCAAAAACTTTTTTCCCAAGTAGCCTGTCCTTAGACTTAAATTTTGAAGTCAAAGCATTTTTAGAATGTATAAGTTGGATTAATTTAGCAGCACTTAAAATCAAATGTATTTTAGCAGCAGTAACTCTTTCCTCGGCAATCAAACAATTTAAAGACAATAATATAACATATAGTATCCAGACTCTCTGTATTTTTCATCTTTAGGTGGCTTTTCTATTATTCTATTTTTATTTCCTTTTGTTTCTTTTTTCCTGAGCCAAGGTTTCTCTGTGGAAATCTGCCTGCCTCTGCTTTTGAAGTGCTGGGATTAAAGGTGTGCGCCACCACACCCAGCTATTCTATTTCCTCCTGTTACTTTTTCTCTCACAAGCCTATATATATACATATATATATTGAACAAAGTGTAAACCTTTAGATTTTTCTCTTTATCTGGATCTGTCTTTATCATCTCGGGAGTGCCGAGTCCAACCCCCAAGAGTGCAGGGGCAGCGCAAGCACATGGAGGCTGTTCCGATGCCTCTCAGGGGCCCGACAAGGCCAGCTGTGGTGGCAGGCTCCCCTCTTCCTCTGGGAACCTTGGGGCATGGGATTATCCTGCTCACTGACACCATTCTGTTATGATAAATCTTTCCACCACCTGCTTGAGTTCCGCTCGCTGCATTAGGGCCCCAAATAATACACAGAGACTTCTATTAGGTACAAATGCTGCTTGGCCAATGACTAGGATTTCTCATCTGTTAACTCAGTATATTTTATATTTTATAAGACTTATCTTATTTAGGATGCCTTCCAGTGGCGTCCTCATCCTAGGATCACATGGTGACTCTGGAGGAAGAGAGAAGGGCAAATGTCTGCCTTTTTACTTGCTGTTTTTTTCTTTGTTGTGAAAAAGCTTTTTGGCTTGATGTATTCCTTTGTCTATTTTTATTTTGTTGCCTGTTCTGTTGGTATCATGTCCCAAAATACCTTTCTAATTCTAGTGTAATGAAGCCCTTATTTTGGATTTTCTTCCAAGACTATAACTTTGCCCCATTCATCTCGTTCTTTGAAGAGCCTTGAATTGACTTCTGTATGAAATATGGAAGAACGGACTAGCTTGTTCTTTTCCCACAGTGTTCATTAAAGAGTTTGTCCTTTCCCCACCGTACGATCTTGGTACTTGGCCAAAGATCATTTGACTATACATACGAGTTTACTTATGCACTCCAGGAAAATGGAGTCTCTCCACTGTGTGCTCTTTGGTTTCCTTAGTCAATGTCTTCTAGAAAACATTGTTTTGCTTCCTGAGTGAGTTGGTTGTCCTCTGGGCTAAGCTTATTCTTCGGTATTTTATTCTTTTTGATGCTATTGTAAAGAATCATTCTCTTTTTCAGATTGGTTTTGTTGCTGTTGCTTTTGTTAGTGTAAAGAAATGCTGTTGATTTTTGTATGTTGATTTTGTATCATGCAACTTTGCTGAATTTGTTGAACACCCAGGGAAACCACTGATATATCTCCAGTCAGAGTTCAAAGGCCTGAGAACTAGGGGCATCAGAAGGCTATCTCCACCCAAGCAAACAGGCAGGAAACAAAATAAGAGGGACTCCGTTTCCTTTGATTTTTGTTCTATTCAGGCCATCAAATATTTGGATGATGACTACCGATGTTGGAGGGCAAGTTAGCTTACTGAGACCACAGATCCTGTGGAAACACATTACAAATATATTCAGAAATGATGTTTTAATCAGGGTGTCTCTTGGCCTTGCCAGGTAGAGACACAGAATCTAATATCATAGCATTTAAGCACATAATTTTTTTTACAGTAATGTATTTATTAAGAATCTTTTAAAGATTATGGGAGACAATTCTCAGTTTGGAAGCATGTCTAGAACAAGAAAACACTTGGAACTACTGATAAAATCACTCAGTTTTCATCTGAACAACAGTTGATGTGTTTTGACCGAGACTATCTCCTAAACTAAGATGTGTACTGTTAGACGTAAATTGCAGTCACTAGGGAAGTCTCAAAGTTAAAAAGCAAGCATTTTTACATTACACAAATACCCTTCTAAGCACACAACATTTTAAATGAGACTAAAATACAAAAATAACCTCATGGAATTAGAGATTATCCTTTTAGTTGGTGAAGAATGATTGGCGAGGCTTCATGGGCTCGGGCCTTCTGGCCTTGCAGCAGTGCTGGTATTTTTGGTTTCTGTGCTACTGATTCAAATGGCCATCCTCTCACTTGTGTTTTCTTCTATGGCTGCAAAGGCTGTAGAGAATGTTCGCCCTGTTCAACACGGACATTCCCAGGTGTTAACTCCCTTTCATTCATACAGAACTTCATCACCCAACAGCTGAATATGTCGGTTGCTTACTTCCTGGGGCTTTCTGACCCCCAAGGTAACGGCAAATGGCAATGGATTGATAGCACTCCTTTCAGTCAGAACATCAGGTGAGTGCAGTCCTGGGCTAATGAACCATTGGGATTATTTAGGCTGAAAATTGAGGGGAATTTTGCTAGCAGTGACTATTAATATTCATGATTATAAGAGACTAAGTTTTCACTGAATGCATGAGTAATCTAAAGTTTCATGAAACTTCTCTTTTAGAAATTCACTTTAAGTATGAAATATTGAATAATAACTTCCTCAAGATCAATAGAACAATAAAATGAGAAACTGCATTTAACCCAGTATCTATCTGACTCTAAAGATGATGTTCTCAGCCATTAGATTTTTCTGCCTTTAAACACAAGTAGATATTTAATTTATTGATCTCTAATAAATAAAATGTAAAATAATTTATTGACATATTACCTTATTTTTAGCCTCATGCCATCTTGTCAGTTACTTTGGAACATTTAATAATTTATTTCTAGCTTTCATGATTTCCATTTTTATACATGAAGAATTTAAAATGAAAAAACAGTAAATTTCTTGATCAGGGTTAAGGTGAATTAGAAGTTAAACAAGTATCTTATTTATTTTTTTCTTTTATTAAACACAGATATTTTTCTCATATAATACAATCTGAATATAGTTTCCCCTCCCTCTACTCCTCCAAGTTTCTCCACACCCCCCACCTGTATCTATTCCCTTTCTGCCTCTCATTAGAAAACAACAGGTTTCTAGGAGATAACAATAAAACATAACAAAATAAAATATAAGATAAAACAAAACCATCACATCAAAGTTGTACAAACCAAGGCAACAGAAAAATAGAAGAGCCCCAAGAGAAGGCCCAAGAACCAGAGACCCCCTCCTTATGCATTCATAAACAAATCCCATAAACATACCAAACTGGAAGCTACAGGACCTATGCAGAGGACTTTAGTGTAGACCCTGCAGGTCCTGTGCGTGCTGCTTCAGTCTCTGTGAGTTTATATGAGTTTTGCTTGTGTTGATTAGAAGGCTTTGTTCTCCTGGTGTCCTCTGTCCCCTCTGTCTACCCCACTTATTCCTTCTCTTCCACACTGGGTTGGTTCCCTGAGCTCTGAGGTGAAGGATTTGATGGGGACGTCTTGTTTAGAGCTGTGTGGTCCAAGGTCTCTCTCCATGTAATCTCTTGCTGTGGTCTCTGTATTTGTTCCCATCTGAAGACCTCTCTGATGATGGCTGAATAAAGCCCCGATCTATGAGTACAGCAAAATATCATTAGGACTCATTTTATTGTTACATATGTTTGTTTTAAGACTGCTAGGATTTGGTTTCTCTCTAGTTAAAGTATATTAATTAAAAAAGTAAGGCCCGCCCCTTCCTCTCTCCCTCTTTACAGTACTCAAAGGCGGCAGATAAGTCACATCCAGTTAAGAAGCCGATGGTAGGAGGCAGCTTCTGTGAATGCCAAAGAGAAAAGAACTTTCACTAACTTATACCACAATGAGAGATGTTTGAAGAAGACAAAGTAAATATTGGGTTGCAGGGGAAAGGTCAAAGTGTACCACATCAGAAAAATAATCTACGTAAGGCTGCCTGTGTTTCGCATTTTAGAAGTGGGTTGTGTGAGAGAAGGGAGAAAATGCTGGAATCTTCTCTCAGCTCTGTTCTACTCAGCCTTAAACTTCGCCTTTGAAGCAACCGCTGTGCACCCATGGAGGAGTTATTTCCGTCTTTTGTTTTCTGCAGGTTCTGGCACCTGAATGAGCCCAATCTTCCCGAAGAGCCATGCGCTTCGATTGTCTACTGGCATCCAAGGAAATGCGGCTGGAATGATGTGTTCTGTGACAGTAACTATAATTCAATGTGTGAGATGAAGAAGACTTACCTATGAGCAGCATTTTGTTCATTTACACCTCTAAAGTCTCTCGGCATGTCCACGTGACTGTAGCCATCCTAGAGTCACCTGGGAAGAGGGACCCCCAGCTAAGGAGTTGCCGCCATCAGACTGACTTGTCAGCATGTCTGTGGGGCCATTTTCTTGATTAATGGTTGTTGTTAGAGGGTCCAGTGGGTACTAGGTAGGTGGTCATGGGTAATGTAAGAAAGCAAGCTGAGAAAGGCATGGCAAGCAATCCAGTAAGTATTGTCCCTTCATCTCTGCCCCAGGCTCTTGTTCTGGCTTCTTTCTGCAATGAACTGTTGTTACTGGAAAGTATAAGATGAAATAAACGATTTTCTCCAAGTTGCTTTTGGTCAGTGTTCCCCTGCCCCCCCCCCCACACACTGCAACAGAGAAGCAAACTAGAATACCCCTTTATTCTGTTCTCTCATTTATAATTCATAGTTTTCCTTTCCTTCATACTTCTTCTACAAACATTCCTCTTTCCAGATCGTACTCTTTGGGCTGTTAGAAGATTTACAATACAGTATTGTTTGAAAATCACTTCATTCTCAAAATACCATAGGAAAATCTCCTGGTGAAGGTTGTGGCTGTGGCTAGAGCCATCACCATCCAGGGATCCAACAGGAGCTCAAATCTGCTTTCTCGGGGCTTACTCTTGTGGCTGGCACCTCAATGCTTATCATTGCTGGTCAGCCCCTCACATATGGAAATCTCCCCAAGGTGGGTGGCTTGCATGTACTCAGAACCACCTTCCACTTGAGAAAGTGATCCAAAGATCTAAAGCTGCAGTTTTTCACGAGGTAGCTTCAGAATTTATATGCAACTTCTGCTTCACACAACCGAAGAAAAAAATACCTCAAAGTGAGAATAACAGAAAGTCAGAGTCTGTTAGAGACCAGAGTCTGTTATCCCAGCCCCCCTTTAAGAAACAAAACAGGTATAACAAAAAGGAATAGAATTAAAAGTTCTTTGATACAATGAACTTCAGTTGATCAAAATGAGGAGAAAAATTTTCAAGCACTTATCAATAGCACAATATTAGTACAAAGGATATATACACAACTGTCACATGAATTAGAAAAAGACAAAATGAATAAAATATTTGAACAAACATAGGAGGAATAAATACATACATTCATTATTAAATATTCATTGAAAATTAAGTATTTGATGACTATACATTCATTATGCAATAAATAAATACATACATTCAGGGCTGGTGTCATGTCAGAGGAGCAGCAGATGGCAATTGACTTCAGGGGATCTGTCCACTAGGAAACAAAACCCTGATGGGTGAATCTCAGATAGGCAAGGCCCAGAGAGCTTTGACCCCAGGATGTTTCTTGCTACTGCTGTATCTGCATGTTTGTTGCTGCCATTTTCCTCTGGTATCTGGCATGGTGTGAATGGTGTGGGGAGATTCCCACTGCCCTTAATGCTTTATGATCCTCTTTTGGAAATAGCCCGTTCTACTGGGCAGTGTGACCTGTGCATTATTATGAAGATGATTTCCTCCTAAGCTGTACTGTCTAACTGAAGCAACAAATTTATACAATATAGTGTTAGCAATGATTGAGGGTCTTTAATAAATATACTAAGGAATTATGATAGAAATTAGTTTAGTGAAAAAATTAATATAGGTAAAGGTGGGACAAAATGTTGCCCCTGCCTCTGATAAACCTGAGGCTGCACAAGATAAAAAATAAAACAAGGAAGTGTCACACAGCTAGAACACATGTGTTTCAATTGAAGAGCCGTGTAGACTGTGGCTTAGGTTAATGAATAAGGAAAACAACTGAGTCCAAGTAGGTCAGCTAGCTTAAATTCTTTTAATCTTAATGTTGGGAGATGTGTTCATAGGTTTCAGAGTGCATCATAGCTAAAACAATGTTTTGAAAATAACTTAAGGTTAGACTAAGATGTTTTTGTCAAATAGCTTTGAGGTGAAAAACTCCAAGAAGATAATCTAAAGTTCACAAGGACATGTATCCAAGTGGTAGATTTATTAAGGTTAGGGATTAAAAATAAAGCAGCCCAATTGTTATTAGCTGATGTGTCTTTCTTCCTACCCATTTCCGCCTTCAACTTCCTGATACAAAGAAACTATTGATGAGTGGGTCTGCACCCTAAAGATTTAAAGTAGAGCTAACTGATTGTTTTTCATGTATGAAAGTTTAGATTTGTGATTCTTTTAACATTCCTTATAAAATTACCTTTCAAGATAAGCAATTGATTCTTTCTTTGTAACTGCAATATGCAGCCTGCCAGTAAAAGAACTGGCTGAGAAAAAAAAAAAAAAAACAAAACAAAACCCTGCTTGCAACATAAAATATCTTGGGGAAATACTAACCAAAAATGAGAAAGACCTGTATAGTAAGAACTTTGAGTCTTTAAAGAAAGAAATTAAAGAATATACCAGAAAATGAAAGGATCTCCCATGCTCTTCAATAGGTAGAATCGACATAGTAAAAATGGCAATCTTGCCAAAAGCAATCTACAGATTCAATGCAATTCCCATCAAAATCCCAACACAATTCTTCACAGATTTTGAAAGAATAATACTCAACTTCATATGGAAAAACAAAAAACTCAGGATAGCCAAAACAACCCTGTACAGTAAAGAAACTTCCGGAGGCATCACCATCCCCGAATTCAAGCTCTATTGCAGAGCCATAGTCCTGAAAACAGCTTGGTATTGGCACAAAAATAGACAGGTTAACCAATGGAATAGAGTTGAAAACCCTGATATTAACCCACACACCTACGAACACCTGGTTTTTGACAAAGAAGCTAAAGTTATACAATGTAAAAAAGAAAGCATCTTCAACAAATGGTGCTGGCATAACTGGATTTGGACATGTAGAAGATTGCAGTTAGATTCATATCTATCGCCATGCACAAAACATAAATCCAAAAGGATCAAAGACCTCGGGGAAATCCCACCCCGGGGTCTGCAGGCAAACTGAATTGTTCCCTGAGGACCCTGGGACCCTGACTCTGCTGAGATTGCTGGGCTATTCAGGCCCCCACAGAGTGCAGAGAGTGCAGAGGTGAGCTGCTTCTGCCCCTGCGTTGGGCCCAACTTCTGCCTGCCCACTTTGGGAACTCCTGCCCAAGGGTCTGCAGACATGACGACTCGACCCCTGAGGACCAAGCAACCCCGAGTCTGCTGACATCTCTGGTCCAGTCCTGCTCTCACCCACCTGGAGAGCAAGTGCCTCAGACCTGCCTACACCCAACTTGAAACCCATCAGAGTATCAAAGTCAATTGCACACACCTGAAGAGAACACGAGACCCATACACATCAGGAAAGGAAGTGACACCACCTGTACCTACTGGAAGAAGAGATGGGAAGACAACAATATAAGAACACATCCAACAACAGGAAACCCAATATGACACCACCAGAGTCTAGGGACTCTACACCAGCAAGATATGAACATCCCCACACAGAAGAAGCAGAAGAGAGCAACCTTAAAAACAACTTCATGCAGATGATAGAGAACCTAAGAGAGGAAATCAGAAAATCCTTCAGAGAAATGGAAGAAAAGACAAACCAAAAATGCAAGAAATCAAGGAAAGCCAAAAAAGCCAAGAAAATACAATTAAACACCTGAGGGAAACAGTTCAGGACCTGAAAACTGAATTAGAGACAATAAAGAAAACACAAACTGAGGGAATGCTGGAAGTGGAAAAGCTTAGTAAACAATCAGGAACCACAGATGCAAGCATAACCGACAGAATACAAGAGATGGAAGATAGAATCTCAGATGCTGAAGATAAACTAGAGGAAATAAACTCATCAAGCAAAGAAAATCTGAAGTCCAACAAATTCATAACACAAAATATCCAGGAAATATGGGACACCGTGAAAAGACCAAACCTAAGGATAATAATATTAAGAGCAGCAAGGGAAAAAGGCCAAATAACATATAAAGGCAAATCTATCAGAATTACACCAGACTTCTTCATGGAAACTGTGAAAGCCAGAAGGACTTGGATAGATATTCTACCAACTCTGAGAGAATATGGATGCCAACCCAGACTACTATACCCAGCAAAGCTTTCAATCACTAT